CAATACATTCCATTCTGAAGCAGTGCATTAAGCACCCAACATATTAAATGGTAGGAGGTTGTACTTGCAATGATGCTCATGTTGAGTACCCAACAGAGCATGTGTTTTCCACATGACCCGGTTCGCTACTTCTGGGGGTATGGACCTTGCCGCCAACGAGGATTTGGTTTACAGTTAATTTCTGAAATGCTAGGGGTACAAACCCATACTTGGGCAGCTGAGGGTTTGGGATCGAGGGTAGGGGGTTTACGGTAGTGAAGCAAAACTGGACTGGACTAGAGAGGATTTCAATCGATTATAATTTATAACTACAATTACAGGTAAAGTTCGAAGTAGCACGAACATGCCGTCGCAAGCACCGAGCCCCTGTAGGAACTTGTACGGGGAGGGTACAGCTGATGGGTGCAGCTATATATGTCGTAGCCGGCGATTATAATTATATATTATACTGGCAAACCCTTAAACCCTAAACCCTATATTGTATTTCCTATCGATCACCCAAAAGGAATTAGATTCTTGCCCAAACCATTGCAAGCTAAGGAGGAAACTGACCATTGCATCGGAGCAGCTCGTTTGCTTTTCAGACAACATCAGGCTTGAGGAGTTTGGGGGGTGGCTTATCGGGTTTAGGGTTTAGGGCTTAAGGGTGTAGGGTTTAGGGTTTAAAAGGGTTTAGGGTTTAGGGTTCTCTTGAAGTAGTTTTGCACTTAGCAATATCTAGCGACCCTGCCAGGAACCCTAAATAACTGCTGCCTGGGCTCACTCCGGCCTTGGCGAGCTTCGTCGGGAAGCTCTTGATTTCGAAAAGGTTCTGATTAGCCAAGGCACAGGCCGACTTAGCCAACTGATCGGTACTCTTTTGCTTGACTTCGATTTCTCCGTCCTCTTTGCCCTTACCCTTTTTACCCTTGCCCTTACCCTTGCCCTTGCCTTTGGGGGTGGGCAGAGAGAAATCGTCGCTGTGGTCGGGCTCTGGGACATCTCCCCAAGCAGGGGCCTCCCCCTCCCTTTCGTAGGAGAGACTGGTCTCGTGGCTGGTCCTCTGCGTGTCCCTGAACTCCTTCCATCGGCGATAGAGCCGCATCCCCTGGTCACGGATGTTTAATTTAGTGGGCTCTGAAGGAATCAAAGGCACTACAACTGGGTCCGACAACATGGTCAGGGGCAGGCCTCATTGCGAGGGAAGTCCGGATGCTTGCGGATGTTGTTGTCGGGGTCCAGCTCCTGTCGTCGTTTTATAGGGTTTAGGGTTTAGGGTTCAGAGGCTTTGGGCCTTGGGTTTGGGGGCTTTGAGGGTTTAGAGATTTGTTGGGTAGGGTTTCTAAGGAGAGCGGCCATACTGACTAAATTGTGTAGCTGTGCCAGGTTTACAACCCCAATGGTTTTGGATTTGCGTTCAGGATTTTCGGGCATCCTCACTAATCACGATGGGAAGGCCA